TTTTTTTTTTTAGGGCCAAATTAAAATAGTCATACAAAATAAATTGAGCAAGAGCCACTGAATTAATCTTTTAGTATATTACCTTAAATTTTATTTTTGGTTAAATGAATCTGGGCCACATTTCACCAAGGTGTTTGTTTTGCCAGTGGACAAGTTCACCACAAAGGTCACAGACACCAAGCTAAGAAGTGCTTTTATCTTTACTTAATCTTAAAGCAATGAGAAAATAAGTGAAATGATATACAAGAAAAAAACAGAATAAAGCGATGCACCTATTAATACATGAGGATAGCAATAGTGACTAAGAAAGATACATCACCAGCTGCTGAAATACTTCACCATCATCCATTCCACAGTTGGTGGGGAGCTCTATCAAGGATATGGAGAGCCTTTCCTGGAAAACTGGAGGTCCCAGGCAGTGCATTCACTCATAGGTGAGGTCTCCTACAAGAAGGTCTAGCTTTTATACTGGTGAATAAACAAGCGTACATGACAATTAGGTGGAACCACCTGGTTTCATTCTCCCTTTTGGATTCATAGAAACACAGAATGGTCCGGGTTGGAAGGGACCTCAAGGATCATGAATCTCCACACCCCCCCTGCCACAGGCAGGGCCACCAACCTCCCCATTTAATACTAGACCTGGATGGGGCCCTGGGCAGCCTATCTGGCCTTGAACACCTCCAGGGACGGGGCATCCACAGACTTTCTGAGCAGCCTGTTCCAGCACCTCACCACTCTCATAGTAAAGAACTTCCCCCTGACATCCAACCTCAATCTCCCTTCCCTCAACTTAAAACCATTTCCCGTTGTCCTACTGTTATCTACCCTTTCAAAGAGTTGACTTCCCTCCTGTTTGTAGGCTCCTTTAGGTACTGCAGGGCTGCAATGAAGTCATCCTGCAGCCTTCTTTTCTCCAGGCTGAACAAGCCCAGCACCCTCAGCCTCTCTTTGTAGGGGAGGTGCTCCAGTCCCCTGATCATCTTCGTAGCTCTCCTCTGGACCCTCTCCAACAGCTCTCTGTCTTTCTTGTACTGGGGGCTCCAGACCTGGACACAGTACTCCAGATGGGGCCTCACAAGGGCAGATTAGAGAGGGACGATCACCTCCCTGTCCCTGCTGGCCACCCTTCTTCTGATGGAGCCCAGGATACCATTTGCTTTCCAAGCTGCAAGATCATACTGCTGACTCACATTCAGTTTTTTATCCATCAGGACCCCCAGGTCCTTCTCTGCAGAGTTACTCTCAAGGACTGCTCCTTCCAGTCTGCATACATGCCTGGGATTCCTCCAGATCAAGTGCAAAACCTTACTCTTCACTGTGTTGAACCTCATTCAGTTAACCCAGGGCCACCTTTCAAGTCTGTTGAGGTCCCTCTGAACGGTGTCAACCGCACCACTCAGCTTGGTGTCATCAGCAAACTTGCTGAGGGTGCACTCAATTCCATCATCGATGTCACTGATAAAGATGTTAAAGAGCACTGGTCCCAGGACAGACCCCTGGGGAACACCGCTTGTTAGCAGCCTTCACCTGGACATAGAACCATTGATCACCACCCTCTGTCTGCAGCCTTTTAACTGATTCCTTGTTATCCACTGGGTGGTCCACCCATTAATCCACATCCCTCCAATTTGGAGATAAGGATGTGGTGGGGGACCATGTCAAAAGCCGTGCTCAAGTCCAGGTAAATGACATCGGTTGCCTTCCCTTTGCTCACCAGTGCCATCACTCCATCATAGAAGGCCACCAGATTAGTTAAGCATGACCTACCTTCCCCTTGTGAAGCTGTGCTGGCTATCTCAGATTGCACGCTCATTTCTCATGTGATCAAGCATGTCATCCAGGAGGATCTGTTCCATGATCTTCCCAGGCACAAAGGTGAGACTCACCAGCCTGTAGCTCCCCAGATCTTCCTTGCTCCTTTTTTTATACATGAGAGTGATGTGACCGTTCTTCCAGTCATCCAGGACCTCGCCTGACAGCCACGACTTTTCAAATATGATGGAGAATGGCTTGACAACCACCTCAGCGAGCTCCTTCAGAACCCTGGGATGCATGCCATTCCACCCCACAGACTTGTACGCATTCAATCTCAGTAGTCAGTCTCAAACTTGCTCTGTCTTTACAGTGGGAGAGGTGTGTGTGTGTGTGTGGGGGATTTACTGCCCCAATCACTACCTAGAGGTTTAGGGATGCAGGGCTCAGGGAGTGAGAAATATTAGAATCCTGGCTGCCAGTGAAGACAGAGGCAAAGAACTCATTCAGTACATCAGTCTTCTCCACAACTGAAGAAGACAGCTCTCCTTTTACATTTACCAAAGGAGGTACACTCGCTTTGGCTTGTTGTACAGGTACATTGACCAGAAGAGACATCTTACATTGTTTTTCACATCCTTCACTAAGATCTGTTCTGCTTGTGCCGTGCCTTTCCTCATCCCATGTCCGCAAGTCCAGACAGCATCCCGGCATTCTTCACAGGTGACACACCCTTGTTTCCAGAGCTTGTATGCACCTTTCTTTGCCTTCAGTATGCCCAGCAGGTCCTACTAAGTTTCCTGCCTCCTCAGCCCACTTTCTTATTCAGAGGAATGGAGCGCTCTGGTACTCTCAGAAAGGCATCCTTGAAGAGTTGCCAGCTCTCCTCAACATCTTTGTCTGCATCCCAGGGTATCCTGGCCAACAATCCATTGAACAGCTTAAAGTTTGCTCTTCCAAAGTTCAAGGTCCGGACCCCACTCTTCATCAGGCCCACATTCCTCGAGATCACAAACTTGACCAGGGCAGTTACTGCAGCCCAGGCTGCCTCCAACCGTAACACCTTTAATGATCTCCTCCTGATTGGCGAGCAGCTGGTCCAGCAACACTTCACCTCTGGTCAGTCTGTCCAATACTTGAACCAGAAGGTTATCATTAATGGATTCCAGGAGCCTCCTGGACCACTTGAAGCTTACTGTGTGATCTTTCCACTAGATATCTGGATAGCTGAAGTCCCCCACCAGTATGAGAGCCTGTGAGCATGATGCCTCCTGCAGCTAAAGCAAGAAGGCCTCATCAGCAGTCTCCCCTTGATCAGGTGACCTGTAGTATACTGCTATAACCAGCTGGCTTTTATCAGTCCAGTCCCTAATTCTAACCCACAGGCTCTCAACTTGTTCCTGACTGGTTCTCAGAGGAAGCTCCTCATAGTCTATCCACTCTTTGACATAGAGGGCAACTCCCCCACCCTTCCTACCTCACCTATCCCTTCTAAAGAGCCAGTACCTCTCAATGGTGGTATTCCAGTTACGGGAGTCATCCCACCATGTTTCTGTGATAGGAACAAAGTCATAACTTTCAAGTGTATCATGGTTTCCAACTTGGCCTGCTTATTCCCCAGGCTGTGTGCATGGATACAAAGGCACTTCAGCTGGGCTTTCCATCTCACTGCCTTTATAGAGGATCTAGGAACCCCTAGAACAGCAGCATCCCCCTGCCCTACTTCACCTCTTTGTATTTCATCCTCTTCATCCATCAAGTTTGGTATGAGCCCTCAAACTACCCACTCAACCCCAGCGGCCCTCATTTTGTCCCCTTCCCCCTTCATACCTAGTTTAAAGACCTTTCAATGAGTCCTGCCAGTTCCTTGGCTAAGATCCTCTTACCCCTCAGAGACAGGCTACTTCCATCTGCAACCATCATGCCAGATGCCAAGTTTATTGCCCCATGGTCAAAAAATAAAAGAAAATTCCTGTGTTTGCACCAACCTCTAATCCAGTTATTTATGAGGTGTTTTTTTTAATCCTCTCAGTATCCTTCCCTGCCACTGAAAGTATAGGAGAAAAAACCACCTGCACACCTGTTCAATCAGCTACCTGCCCAAGTTCCCTGAAGTCTTTCTTGATAATCTTCAGGCTTTTTGCAGCTACTTCATCACTGCCAGCCTGAGCTATCAATAAGGGGTAATAATCAGAAGGGTAAATCAGTCCGGGAAGTTTCCTAGAAATATCCCTGACCCATTCCACAGGGAGGCACCACACCTCCCTATGGGTAGGGTCAGGCTGACATACAAGCCCCTCTGTTCCTCTCAGCCAGTAGACGCCTACAACTACCACCCTTCTGTCCTTCCAGATAGAGGCAGTCTTGAGGCATGGGATCGACCACTTCACCTGAAGCAACCTCATGGGTGGACTTCCCTCCACACCCTCACTCACCTCTCCCTCAAGTTCCAGGGCCTCAAACCTCTTACACAGAGGCAGCTGGGGAAGCAAGGATGATCGGGATGGGGGATGCCCACTTCACCAAGCCGGTATCCGTTTCCACTCCTCCTCCTCTCTCAAATTGTTTTGCTTTGCAATAGCAGGTCCATCACTGCCTGGTGAAGAACACTTTGATGCTTTTCTGGGAGACTTACACTGCTTTTGCCACTGCCCCACACCCCCAATTCTTCACCATTGTTCCTAGGGAGGAGAGGACAGGGGGCTCATCACAGCAGGATCACTGTCTGCATGCTGGTTCCCCTCTCTTACCTGTTTGCAAGGCAGCAAGGGATGATGTGCTCCATGTGGAGCCTCAGCTGGCTGCCAAGATCTCGGGGTCAATAGGGATTGGCTCCACTAATCAATCTCCCTCTCACATTCCATTATGCTCCTCAGTCTCTCCACCTCCTCCTCCAGGTCAACCACAAGGCTGAGTAAGTCATTTAGCTGGTCACACCTCACACAAGTGCTGTCTCCCTCACCTAGCACTGGCATCTTGTTTTGGGACCTCAGTCTGAGTCTTCACATTTTTCTTGGCAGTAGCTTTCTACCAGGGTGCAGCCGTGGCAAACCAGCAGACTCACCAGCACTATTCAGTTAGTCTTAATGGGGTGTGACTGATCAGCCCTGCCTTGTTGCCGGTAGTGCTGGCACCGCCCGTGCCCCATTACCAGGCCATTAACGGGTGCCCCTGCACTTATCACTCGCTTCACAACCCTTCTCCCTGTGTAGTCCCGTGAATGCGTGGCTTACCGTTTCACCTCCTCTCAACGGCTCACTGACTCACGCAGCCTGACGGCTCCTCTCCGTCCCTGAGGCTTTTTCTAGGCAGGGGGGCGTGGATGCAGAGCCGTTGCCCCGGCAACACCCACTTCACGCCAGCCGCTCTCGCGAGAGCTGCCGGGCTGCTCTGTTGTCTCGGGGCTCCCTGGATGAAGGAACCGAGTGAAACCCCCCTGTACCTCGCGGTCAGTCGCTGCGGTTCTGGCCGGGACAGCTCCGAAGCAGCGAACCTCGGAAATCAAGAAGATTCCCCCTCAAACCTGGCCAGAGCTCCAGGAGAAATCAAGGAGGTTTGTGTACCAGTAGGTCTTGACAGTGTGCTTCTAAACAAGGAAAGGTTAATATATTCTCATAATGCTTTATCTAAGCTACATCTATTGCTAATGAGATATTTTGTCCAAGATATGTACTTCACTAATGATCGTACATATTTCACTAATGATCAGATACTGATGATATATAATGCTGGGTTATGAAATTAATCTAGAGGTCGTTTGGTTCAGGCCTCAGTGCTTCAGTGCTATAGTTGAAAAGACACAGTATTAATAAATCTGCTGAACTCCACTGAACCAAGCTTTATTCCTTCTGGTAAAAGCTGACATTCTTTCCTTCTGCACCAAACTCACCAAAGTGAGAAAGAGCTGAAACCAGCCTAGATGAGAGAGTACCAAGGTATTATACTGAAAGGTTTTGCCTGCCTCTTCTACTGGTCTGCTGCATGCCTGTGAAATAAATCACATCGTCTCTTCATTCCTAAGCCTTCCCAGTAGCCTGATTTGTAAAGAGTTTGAAAAAACATTGACAAAATACCAACATTTTATCTTTATTGTGACAATCCACCAGAGACAATTATGTTGGACAAATATTAGAAATGGAAAAATTTCCCTGTCATACACTTAAGAAAAAATATATGTCATGGTTTTATGATTTTTGGTTATCAGTATTCCACATCATCACATCATGTACTGCACTGGGGGTTTGACTGTGGATGCTCAAGTTCCGGGTGCCTGTCCGGTGGAGAAGAACAACTACATTCCTCAGGGGGCTTTGTGGTCAGCAAGGAGATGTACCTCCTGGCAAGGTCACTTGATGTTCTCTTCTTCGCCTCCTCTTCTTCACCTGCGCTTCTCTGTCTGCTTTTCTTCATCGGCTCAACTGGACTGCACTTCTCACCTCAGCATTGTGGTGAGGCCTATCCACCTTTCGCACACACTTCCTCTCTCTCATTATATTTTGTTGATACTATACTTAGTAAATTAGTTTGTTTCACCTCAGATCGTTGCCGCTGTTTTCAATTATTTTGGGTCCCCTGTTTCCCTTTTCCGGAGGCGCAGATCTGTGGATCCCTCTGCCCCACTAGTCATGGAACCAGGCCGAACCAGCCCGTAAACCATTGACAAAATAAAGCAGTGTTGATATGTAAATAATAATAATCATTTTAAAAAGAGTACAAGCTATCATGCAAATCTCAGGCTGAGGTTGTAATTTAGGCAGCAGGGAAACCCAAGAAAAACAGATTTTTCTTGAAAACTAATGAGACAAAACCATTGATCAATCATGTGCTGTTCATTGAACTGCTTCTCATATCAAGAACGTATTTTGAACTGTGAGTCATGATAGATTATCCCTGTTATAATGTATTCTGTTATATTATACAGAAAAAAAAACAACAAAAAAAATCTGAATAAACAGAGTGGTACAAGATGCTATTACAAATCTTAGTTCACAAAACTGAAGAAAGTACTCTCACTCTCCGCTGTGTCCTTTGTTTCTGATTCTGATTTCTCTCTTCCATGAAGGAGAGAAAAATCACTTCTAGCTGGATCTAGCAATGCACCTAGCAAAGGCAGAGCTGGTTGGTCATTGATGGTGCAGGAGCAGGACCCAACCTGCCCACATACCCAGGCTGGGCTTCTCATGAGTCGTGTAGGGCTCCCAGCAGGCATGCATTCCCCATCATCTACATGCCTAAGAGCTGGGAGGGAAGGTCCTAGTAGCGGGAGGAAGGGCATGAAGCAGACATAACGTGGGGCTCTTCCCATTTCTTTCCATCCCTGCAGAAATCACTGCCTCCCCACCGGATTGTCTCCCAGTATCCCAAATCTCTTGACCATCCCCACCCCACTACACATATTTACCCATGTCTCTAAGCAATCACTTTATCTCCCTGTCCAGATCTACCAAGGCTGTACATGCTCTTCCTATCCCACCTTAGTGCTGCTTCCATTGCCCTCAGCTGGAAGTGTTGATTACAGTGGGATGTATCAGCAACGGGTCTGGTCCCAAGCATGGTTTGTCAACTCATTTGAACCTTACCATTGGTTTCAATAAGCACCTCCTGTGAGCTTGTTGCTTCTGGAGGAGTGTCCAACAGCTGAGCTGGTTGCAGTTTCACAGGGCTGTTTGCATTGAGAAACTCATGTTGTCCCCTTCCATCCTCCTCTCCATGCCCTGAGCCCCAGAAAGGATGGGTGCAGAGCAAGAGAAAGCAGGCAGGGACTGCTTCCTCCAGGGGTTCTTCTGCTCACACCAGCAAATGTGTTTGTGAACTGAAGTGCTCAAATATCTTTGTGCAACATTACTGAGTGTTTCTAATCAAGGATTTATTTCTGTTGGTTTTTTTTCTTTTCCCCTTTGGAAATGTCAGATCATTGAGTACTGGACTGTTCTCAGCGTTTTGAAAGCGTGAGTTTTTAATTATTAATATGTGTCAGTTTGATCTTTTATTGGACTTTCAGCTTCTTTCTGGAGATCAAAATAACTGTTCCTAAAGGATCGTTTAGAAGAAACATAAAAATCTGAAATAAAAAATTCCAAATGGTCCAGTCTGTTTTTTTTGTTTGTTTTTTTGTTGTTTGTATTTTAATTTCTTTTAAATTGTTTCTCCTTTTCCCTCTTCCCTTTTCATCCTAATTGAAGCTACTAAAGGCCTCACAGATTCTCTTTTGGACTGGAAAGTTGATCCCTCACCATCCGTGGCTCTGAAGCAATGCTAGCATTCCCACTGACCCACTCTGCTGGGGTGGGGTATGCTGTAAGCAATCCCCAGCAGAAGCAGCGGAAGGACTGGAATCTACAGTTTGGATACATAGAGCTCCTGCAAAGTTGTCTTCAACCTTCACCACTTCTCAGGAAATACAAATATTCTGGGAGCTGAATTCCCAGACAAATTTTTCTATGGGTTAGGCGAATTACAAATAAAAGGAAAGTCCTTGAGTGAGAAATTAGTAATGTATTTATCTTTTATTTTAAAAAGACCAAGAGCTTCAGGGAAGTGTTGGTCTCTGGTGGGCACTTCCCAACTGTGACAGGTTTTCTTCATAGTTAAGTAGTTGGCAATAGATTATCTACTGCTGTAATGTTACTCTGAAGCACAATCCCTGATTCTGGCTTGGAGTTCATGCTTACATTGCTTAATTATTATTTCATTCTCCATATGTCCTAAGCATGGATGAGATTCACCTCCTCAAAGAAGGAGCTGCCACCAAAATAGCAATTCTTGCTTATTCCTTCTGGTCATGAAGATGTGGCCTTTTTCATAAATGCTGGTCGCTGTCAGTAATGGATAGAGTCTTTCTGATATATTCAAGGCTGTTAGGTAAATCAGTGGGATTTTTAAAACTGTATTTGACAGTCCTACTGCTTAGCAGTATGTAGACTGGAAAATCTTTGGAAAAATAAATAGATAATATGGCAGACTAGATTAGGTAAGAGATATTTTTGTTATCTCTGTCATAAATAATCTTACAGTTCCTTATCCACCCATCACCCCTAACAACAAGAATTTTACCACACACCATAAGAAATAATTTCCTTCAAGATGATGGAGTGAGAGAAGATGCTCCTCTTTGTAGCAGCTGAAGATGAATGAGTTATACAAAAAAGATGTGCCAGAAAGCTTGTCAGAGGCACAAATACACACAATGGAACAAAGCTTAACACGTTATTATAGTAAGGAGAGAATGACTATAAATAATAGGTAATCAGGTTTTTCACTTTTATGACTCTACACATCTATCTATTCCTTGGACACAGGGCTGCATTATTTAAAGACAAATAGTAGACAATATCGTAAAACTCCAAGTGATTTTCAATTGCCTCACACTCCCTGACTGGTATTAAAAGGAGAATGAAAAAAAACCAACACACAACAAAACAAGCAAACTGAAAAAAATGTTGCTGAACATGAAATGAGATCTTAGACAGGATGATCATCATTGTTATTGCTGGAACACCACCATAAATATTTCTTTTAATAGGAAAGATATGTATGGTAGGCTAGGCTTTTGTTAGAGAGTGCTATTAAACACCAACAGCCTAAGTTGTGTAGATGTGTGAGTGGATGTCTTTCAGTTCAGTCAGACTGAACTGCTTTGGAATAGTATTCAGAAGGAAACTAAAAAGTGAGGGACACTCAGCTGAAATACTTCTGGACAGATAGCTTTCATGGTTTGTCCATTGAATATAAGCATCAGTATGGCTCACTGTCAGCTCCTGATGCATTGCATTTGTGATTAAAGAAGAGAATTAGGGATCCAGTGACATTTTGGACCATGAGAAAGCTGACATTAACCCACGGGAAATGAATTTTCAAATAACACCTGTACTGTTTTTTAACATCTTTTTTGGAAACTAAAATACATGTTCACTTGCCTAATCCCACAGTCATCAAAATAAGTAAAAACTTATGCTATGGTCAAAAATCCCCTCTAGTGTTCCTTGTCAGTTTTCCCTAGAGGAAAAATCTCTTGGTGCCCATGTAGGGAATAGCTTCACCTGGGACAAGACACACAGTCACTCAGCAGAAGGTAATCTTAAATCCTTTGAAATATGAACAGTCTGGACTGGCTTGTGCCAGACGGCAGCATGTCCCGGAGGGGAGCAAAATGGGCCAGGTTAAAGCAGAGAACAGGCTGAATAAAGGTGGCTACAGGAGCTTTGTGATGTGGCCCTACTATTCTATTCAAGATTCCATATTTTTCAATATTGTGGGCAATATTGGTGGTAGGTCGGCAGCTGGACTAGATGATCTTAGAGGTTATTTCCAACCTTCACAATTCTGTGATTCAACATATCTGAGTAGTGTTATGGACTTCAAGTCTGCATTCATATTTTGTATAACAGTATAT